CTTGAGGTGCCTCCTGTATGTAACCCATGTCTCGCTGCCATATAGCAGGGTGGGGAGGACCACTGCTCGATATACGTGCAACTTTGTAGAAAATTTCAGCTCCCTACAACTGAAGACTGCCAAAGGCATGAGATGCACATCTGATGCGATATCTGCGGTGGTGGATGAATGGAAGCCAAAATACTGAAAGTGGGGAATATGGATGATGAAGTGTGGCTGAACCAGGGGCAGGATGAAAGATAATCTGAGACTTATGTACATTCAGCTCAAGGCCGAAATGTGCATATGCATCTGGAAAAGTGTTCAGGATCTCCTGTAGGTCTTCTTCAGTGTGAAAGACAAGGGTGAGGTCGTCTGCATACTGAAGTTCAGTAATGGAAGCTGCTGACACCTTTGTTCTTGCCTGGAGTCGTCTTATGTTGAAAATACCCTTCATTTTGTGCTGGATGACACCGCACCGGCTAAATTGGCACTGGCACGAGTATGGAAGGCAGCCAAGAAAATGGAAAAGAGAGTTGGTGCCAGTGCACATCCCTGTTTTACTTCAGTTTGGACGGGGAAGAACTCAGACCGAGTGCCATTGTGCAGGGCACTGCCATTCATGCCATCACAATAGCGATGAATTTTGGTGGGCAACCAAAACGGCTGAGGGTCCGCCAGAGGGCTTCTCTGTTAACCGAGTCAAAGTCCTTGGTTAGGTCGATGTACAGGTCACGACGCGGTTCTCTGCACTTTTCCTGTATCTAGCCTGGCAGCAAATATCATGTCAAGGTGCCACGTGATGGTCTAAGGCCACATTGAAATTCTGGGAGGAAGTTTTCCACCTTAGAAAGAAGTGTGTTTAGGGGGACTCGGGCAATCATTTGGCCAATTACGAACAGCAGCGAGATCCTGCGGTAGTTGCCACAGTCTGACCGGTCTCCCTTGTTCTTATAAATATTGACGATTGAGGCGTCTTTAAGAGCTTGGTAGATTTCCTCCTTTTCCCATATATTCTCCAGGAGAGAGTGGAGACGGCTGGGATTCCATCAGGCCCCGAGGCTTTGTTATTTTTCATCTGTTTGATGATAGTAGCTACTTCATTTTTTTGATGGAGGATAGCTGAGGTGGGTCAGCTCTGGACCCTGAGGGACCTGCTGAGTAGTTAGGACATCCACATTGTTTTTTTCTATTGAGCAGCGAATGTTACTGCTCTTTCCACTGCTGAAGGATGTCTTCTTCGTCTTTAATTAGGGAGTTACCATCGCATGAGCGGAGTGGATTTGAAAAATTCGAGCATCTTATGTTGATCTGCAAGTTTTTTCATTTAATATGCTTTACTTTTTAAACCAGTCGTTCTTTAGATTGTGAAGTTCGTGCTGAGCCGCTGCTTTCTTCTCGCGAAAGGTATCAGCTTTGGTTTGAGACTGTGGATTGTTCTGCCAGTCAGTTAAAGCAGCACGTTTATGAACTACGAGTACATTGATTTCCAAGTCATTTTCATCAATCTCGTCCTGGTGTAGCGTTAGACGATTACACTCAATCTCTGAAACCCCGTCGATATTGTTAAAGCGTTAATCTGCATTGTAATCTTCCCAACTGAGATACTGTACACTTCCCTCTTCACTCACAGTACCCACGCTCACTGGTCGAATGCTTTGAATCAGAGTTCAGTGTTTGGGGTTCAGTCCTCAGGGAGAGAGAGGATTGGCTACTGTACAGTACCAGTAAACATTACCAAATATATTGCTCACTACATCCATGCATCAAATGAAAAGTATGATGAGCTGGATAACGGCTGAACCTGAGTTGATTTATGTGATGAGGCAGGAGTGCAAGCAGCAACCACACATATTGGCTTTCCCTTTTCATGATCCACTTGCTTTATTTCACACAAAGCTTGCCCATTCATCTTATTTTTAAGCAACGTAAGCCTCTCCTGGGGATTGCCCATGCCAACTATGTGGTCATCCATGTGTCTCTGGACTGATGAGATATATTGATAGCCTCATGTTTCCTTGCTGGATTCGGTACCGTTAAATGCTACTACGACCACATAGTTGTTCGTTCGACGGTAACTCCCTGATTAAAGATGAAAAAGGCATGCGTCAGCACTGGATAGAGCACTACCACTTATTGTTTAACCGAAACACCGATGTGGATATCCTAACAACCATACAGGTCCCACAGCACCCAGAGTTGACCAACCTCAGCTATCTTCCACCTCCTGGATGAGGTAGCTATTGTCATCAGTCAGATGAAAAACAGGAAAACCACAAGGCCTCACGGAATACCAGCTGACGTGTAAAAAGCAGGATGACCTCTGCTTATCAGCCGTCTTCACACTCTCCTGGAGAATATATGGGAGAAGGAGGATATCCCCCAAGCTTTTAAAGATGTCTCTATTGTCAATATTTATACGCACAAGGGAGACTGGTCAGACAGTTGCAACTACAGTGGGATCTCTCTGCTGTCCATAGCTGACAAGATTATCACCCGAGTTCTCCTAAATTCTTCTTCCCGAGGCGGAAAAGTTCCTCCCAGAATCTCAATATGGCTTTAGACCATCACATGGCACTACTGACATGACCTTTGCTGCCCTCCAGATCCAGGAAAAGTGTAGAGAACAGCTTCATGACATGTACATGGCCTTCATCGTCCTTACTAAGACGCTCAGTCGTTTTAGTTATCCACCAAAATTCATAGCTATTGTGAGGCAACTCCACGATGGTATGGACGGCAGTGTCCTGCAAAATGGCACCCAGTCTGAGTTCTTCCCCATCGAAACAGGGGTAAAACAAGGATGTGAACTGGCACCGAATCTCTTTTTTATTTTCTTGGCTGCTTTTCTTGCTCGTGCTAGTGCCAATTTAGCCGGCGAGGTGGACAACTAGTGTCGGTTGAAGGTACTCTTCACCATAAGATGACTTCAGGCAGGAACAAAGGTGTAGGTCGCTTCCATCAATGAACTTTAGTATGCAAACGCATCACCCTCGTCGCTCACACTGAACATGATCTACGGGAGATCTTGAACACCTACGCAGATGAGTATGCACACTTCAGCATTGATGTTTATGGATGTAAGACTCGGATTCTCTTTCAGGCTTCCCCTGGTTCTGCCACACCTCCATCCTCCATCCAGGTTAACGGCACTACCCTCTCTAACATTACCCATTTACAGTGTCTTGGCTCTCACCTGTCCACCACAGCAGACACCGATGAAGAGATTTAACATCGGATCAGATTTGCATCTCAAGCCTTTGGCAGCCTCCGTACTCGTGTCTTCAGTTGTAGGGAGATGAAATTATCGACAAAGTTACACGTTTATCGATCAGTGGTCCTCCCCACCTTGCTGTATGGCAGCGAGACATGGGTCACATGCAGGAGGCACCTCAAGGCAGTTGAAAACTTTCACCAACGCAGTCTATGTTCCATCTTCCAAGTTCACTGGAAAGACAAGAGAACAATTGCCAGTACTCTAGCTGACATCAACTGCAGGAGCATCAATGAACAACTATATTGGACTGGCCATGTTACCTGCATGGACGACAATAGACTGTCAAAACAACTATATACAGTCACCTAACGAATGGTAAACGTGACACTGGCGGGCAACGGAAAAGGTATAAGGTTAGTCTTAAGACAAATCGACCCCCCAACATGGGAGGCGGTCACTCTACGCCAAACAAGAATGTATCAACATTTTCGAGTTAGCCCGACTGCATACTCGAGTCACCTCAGAGCTCATGAACGAAGGTGACATCCTTAATTACGCATAACATATAATCATAGCTGGATGATCATTATACTCGATTCCAAGTGACAGCAAAGTGGTAGTAGTAAGTAGTAGTAGTAGTAGTACGCGTGTGTGTGTGTGTGTGTGTGTGTGTGTGGTGTAATGGTCAGCATGCTCGTCTCGCAAACGAGTGGACTCTGGCTCGGTTCCCTGGCATGTTGAAACTATGAGCAAGTTTCTTAGCGTTAGTTGCCTCTGTCTATCCAGCAGTAATTGGGGACCTGGATGTTAATCGATTTGCAGATCGTGTTGCAGGGTAATGGTTAGCCAGTGCAGTTGGTGAGTTGTCCGGTTTTCTCGGATTATTCCTTGACACTGGGTCATGCAACTCGTTAACTTAGGTGAGGTTGTTGTGCTGACGACAACTTCCAAACCTTAAACAAATTCCGCTTAGTAGTCCATGAGCAAGGACACAAAATCTGGCTCATTGGTACTAAAAAGGGAACGTTATCTCATATGTATTTTTGGTTAGTTTCATGTCTCTAGAGGATAGAAATATTTGATAGTAGTCTGGATTATACAACGTTCCGTATGCTATCACCAATTTCAGGGACTAACTTTTGTAGAAAGGTATTTTGAATCCCTCTTTTCTACCTTCCAACAAATATTGGGTACTGAAGTTAGAATTCTGGCTTTTACACTCCACCTTGTAAAATCCACCCTTGAAGTGTGAGAGTCAAATAGGCTATTTTGCCAGTGATATTTGTAATATTTCACCTTTTACTTTTAATACAGACCCAATCTCTTCCTTGGTCTGTTATTCATAATTTTAGACATCACATGAGTTGTTTCTCCCGCTGCTGTGACATTGGTGCGGCTGGGGAGAGATTTGCCATATCTGATAGCCTTGTTTAAACAAAATATTTCATGCTGCATCTCTCACGTTATAAGCCATAACCTATTAGAATTTATAGTTTTCCATTTTTCTTTAAGTATCTCAAGAAGTGGTATCCTCGTCGGTCCACAGAGAGAATATACCCCATGTCAAAATTAGCTCAACGTTGTAAGAACACTGTTGCTGTTGCATGTTACGTGATATGGAGTTTAGCACCTTGATACGTTATGTAACTCAAACTTGCCCTCACTTTCAAATTTATGAAAATTTTCATCTCCCAAGCATGATGAAACCATCATATTCTTCCCATTTCAGATGTGCAATATTTCCTACGACTATCCTCCTTCGCCAGTGAAAAAAAAAGAGGACAATATTAAGTAACTTACTCACGTGACTTTCCTCATATTTTCGCCTTGTTCCTGCAATTTATTTCTCTTCCATGCTGCAAAAGCTAAATCTGCTATCTCTCTTTTCTCCAGATTGTCATTCTCTTCTTTCCTTCTTACTTCTTCGTCTTCCTGTATTTTTCTCCTTCGCTTCTCCTTCTCTTCTTCATTTTTTTGTTTCTTCCACATGAGAAATGCCTGAGAAATGTATTGCAGTAAATTATAAGCATTAGTTATTTAAATAAAAAATAATTATTTCAATATGTTTTGAAGTGCTTTATAATTTATCAAGGTATTATTCTATTAACGTGGTAATAACTTTAACTACGTTTATAAAAAATGAGAGCTATATTTTTGTCAGTGACCTGAAGAGTGATTTTTTTATAGGTAGATATCTTTTAATCCTATACACCAAGATATTTCACCAAGTCCGTTGTTACTGTTACTGCCCCGCACTGGGCGAGCGGTTATTGTGGAAATTGTGAACGATAATATGGGAAATTAGTTAATTAGTTGATATGAACATGGAGTTAACTAGTGAGGCTGAATGGAGGGGTGAGAGGAGGCAAGCAGTGTTGATCATGGAGGTACACACACTGACATTGCTTGTCTCCTGGCCACTCATCTGGCTTAGAACTGGCCTGGGGGTCAGTCCAGACGTTGTCACACTCTGAGCATCATCACCTGCGGACTAGTATAAGACCCCGTTACACGTAAGTCTATGCTCATACGAGGCTTTATTGTTCTCAAATGTTGTATTGGGAGATAATGCGGTAAGTTTATGCTTTTGTAATATTAAAATTAGGGCTCCCGGACAGATGGCCGAAGGACATTTGGCCGACGGACGTTTCACCGACGGACATTTGACCGAACGGACATCGAGCCGACGGACATTTGGCCGAACGGACAATAGAACGAACGGACAAATGGCCGAACGGACATTTGGCCGAATGGGCATATTAAATAAAGTAATAATAATAATAATAATAATAATAATAATAATAATAATAATAATAATAATGATGATGATGAAGATGATGATGATAATAATAACAATAATAACAACAATAAAAACATCGACTTACCTTTACAACCTCTGAAGAGCGACTGCATCAGAATCCAGGCAAGCAGGGCTAACATTTGGTTGGTTTGGGGCGTGGCTAAAAAGTTCAAACAAGCATTCTTTTAAAAACTTGACCTGACTTAACATGACTAGTTATGTCGCCTTTTATTTTGTGTTTGTGATGGTGTTGGTGTGTGGATTAGCGGATGTCATGTTATTGACCTGATCTCATGTTTTGTAAGGTCACCCTGTGTACGTAAACCTCTGTCAGTCCTTGTAATTCACTAGTTAAATTGAAATTGGGGAAAATAATGCTGATTGTTTCTGAATAATGCTGATTATTTCCGACGACTACCGGATATTAAACACAAGACTGAAGAAATTTTTATAAAGCAATTACATTACAATGAATATCTTTTATCCTTTAGTAAATGTGCAGAAAATACATTGCAAAGAAGAAAGAAAAAATAAAAGAAAAAGGCCATATGTCCATTCAGCCAAATGTCCGTTCGGCCATTTGTCCATTCGGTCTATTGTCCGTTCGGCCATTTATCCGTTCGGTCTATTGTCCGTTCGGCCAAATGTCCGTCGGCTCGATGTCCGTTCGGTCAAATGTCCGTCGGTGAAACGTCCGTTGGCCAAATGTTCTTCGGCCATCTGTCCGGTCACGAAAATTAGCGTGTAGTAAATGCTGTTGCCATTGTACACAATACGAAGCTGTGTTTGTCACCTAACTTGTAATCCACAAATCATGAGTAACATTAACATTGTATTGACATATTTTGACCATTAAGCACAATTGAGTCCACGTGGACGGGTTTTCTTATCCAGACGTCATATACTTACTGCTTCATAGACGGTAACAGTCAAAATGTGGGTCTACGACTGCAGTTGACATCGGAGAGGTGATGTCTATACTCACTCTGGCAACGGGAGGAAGGTCACGGCGCTTCTCCACCCACCCATACACACACACACACCCATGGCTGGGCGGGGCGTGCGTGCGTGTATTAGTGTGCCTTAGCATGCCCCCTTCCCTTCCAGTTCTCCACACCCACAATTGGAACAGGCATAGAGTACACCGGGCCACCCTACCAGGTGGACGGTACCAAGGGTCGCCCGCCTATAACCAGGCTTGGAGTACACCGGGCCACCCTACCAGATGGACCAGGAGTTTTTTGAGGCTAGATTACTACCCAATATAGTAGACTTTATTCCTTCATGGTATAGATACGTAGATGATGTTCTTTGTCTTTGGCCTAGAAACAGTGACCCATTGGAATTTTTAGACAAGCTTAATGATATTGTCCCAAGTATCACGTTCAAAATTGATAAGCTTATCATTAGAAATGGCCATGACTACAATTTTAAGGTGTACAGAAAGCCTACACAGGTAGACTGTTTCATACATTTTTTATCGGATCACCTGGAGTCTACCAAAATGTCAGTTTTTTCTGCTATGTTCTTGAGATGTTTGCGTATTTGTGACGCTGAATTTATTGATGAAGAATTGAAACACATTCGTTCCATTGCACAAAAACTTGGGTACCCTTCTGTGTTTGTTGATCATTGTTTTAAAAGGGCTAAAAAATCCTTTCATTCTACTCAAACCAGGCAAATTCCTACACATAAGAATATTTTGACTCTGCCCTATCGCAATGAATTTGTCCCGTTAGTTCGGTCCCTTAAATTACTAAATATTTATGTTGTTTTCAAGTATGACTAAACTATTACCAATATGTTAATCAAAAATAGCCCAAGTTTGAATGTAAATGGAAGTGTTTATTGTATTCCATGTAGCAAATGTAATGGTAATTATGTAGGACAGACAGGAAAAACATTGCAGCTCAGAATCAAACAACAGAAGTACAATATCAGAACAACATCTGAAAGCAGTGCCCTGTTCGTTCATGTTAGGAATCATAATCATCTCATTGCTTGGGAAAAAAGCTTAGAAGTATTCAAATCATCTTGTGTCACAGAAAGACTTCTGGTTGAAGCTAGTTTCATTAAGGAATTAAAATAAATAAACCTTAGTGATGGTCAGTTCAAAACTGATATTATGTTACATACATTATTTGTCAGTGGCCCAAGGTTAAACATGCTTTGAAAACATTGGAGCTAGATGTAGGATAGTTATTTAGTGGGTCACTTATCTTTTTGACCTGACCTGACCTGGCTAGTCACGTCACCTCCCTTCTTTTAAGCTCCTCTACGTGTGTGTTGGTGTGGGGATTAGTGGATGTCTTCATTATGACCTGACCTCATGTTTTTAAGGTCACCCTGTATATTTAAGCCTCTCTCTGTCCATGTAATCCAGTTGCCTCTGAAGATGTCTTGAATAAAGACGAAAGCTAAGGTACTCCGTTGTTTCCATTTTCTCGTGTGATTTTATCAAGATATATATATATATATATATATATATATATATATATATATATATATATATATATATATATATATATATATATATATATATATATATATATATATATATATATAGTAAATGCCATAGCTGAGTTTCCCTTCTCACCGTCATCTTAGTGCGATCCATCATCACGTAATCGTAAACCCCACAGTAGCCATCCCTGTTCACAAGCAAAGGTCCAGGGTTTGATTCCTGGCTAGTGAGGTAGTAGTGGATTCCTCCCCTACAAACGCCATGTGTCGCTGACTAGCCGACCCCCAGCGAATCTACCAGTGTATCCCTTGTGGTCAAGGTCAGGTAACCAGCTACGTCAAATAAAGCGGGGGCCTACCATTAAGCCACGCCTAGTTCCGCTATATAAGACCTCCTCCGCTCCTGCCTGGCGGCTCCCACTCCAGCCGGCGATCATGGCGACCCACAAGCTGGTCCTCCTCTGAGCACTCTCACCAACCAGCTCTCTCTACTCAACGCTTGTAACCATGCTACCTTCCCAGCACCAAGCTGCATCGTACATCCAATACAATATGTATACAGAGAGCACATTGTGAGTTTCCTTTCTCCAACCCATCCTGAGTGTGAACCAATATCACATAACCCCACAATTGGTGACCCCTGGAGCTGTGAACACCACACCCCTTTCTGCTGCCTTACTCCTGGAGCTGAGAAGATCGTCCTGCCTGCTGCCAGCCTAGGCCTTACCCGCACCACGTGCTACCCCACTCCTCCACAACGACACCACCCGCACCACATGCTACCCCACTCCTCCACGACGACACCACCCGCACCACGTGCTACCCCACTACGACACCATCTCACGACCGTGTGACACACTTCCATAAGAATGGACAGACGGATCTCTCGACCGACTTTCAACCACAACGTCGAGGACTGGTTAGATCATGTGGAAGCAATCCTCATCGGCTCACAAGCTACTGACGAGCAAAAGTACGGCACCCTGCTCTCTTTCTTGCCCACAGAAGTCGCCACACATGTATCACGGACTATTTCCAACCCTCCAGAGTACAACAAATTCGCCACCCTGCAGGACGCCTTAAAAACGCATTACCTATGGACCCGCCCCAGTCTCTCGCAGAACTTATCTTCTATCTCCCTTGGAAACTCAACTCCGGGACTTCTCTGGGAGATGTGTAGGCTGAACTCCCGGCACACAGACAGACTTCCCGACCCTATCCTGCACCAGCTTCACGCACAAAAGCTCCCCACACAAATACGTACCATCCTGTCCGCAGTAGATTACTCGACGACACCTGAACTCTGCGCAACCGTGGCAGACAGAATATTCAACGAGTGCGTGGCTGCGTGCCTGGCGGCCGCGGACAACCCAACAACCACACCATTACTTACCTCCGAACTTGTAAGCCGGGTCAACACCCCTCAGCCGAGCAATACCTCACAAGACATCAGGGACCTGTTGCAAACCTTGAACCGCAGTATGAACACCATTGAACAGTTCTGCTTCTAGGCCTGTTCCTATCCCACGCACCGCGCCCTTCCTGCCCCGGAAACCGCCGCCAGCCCCCAGCACAACGAATATGCCCTCTGCTGGTATCACCGGCGTTTTGGCCCCAATGCTCAACGCTGTGAGCCCCATTGCACCTACTCGGGAAACGGCAACATCGGAGGTTGGTAGAAGCCTCAGCCCCCGTCCCTTCAGGCGTCTCACTACTGCACGTCGCCGATCGCACC